GGGAAAGAGAAAGGGAAAATCCAAGTATCAATAAAGTGATAACACAGGTTTTGACAAACCGCCAAAAATACTAATACAGCAACTGCAGGAGGCCTATAAATTTCTCTCCTATGGATTCAAGCAGAAGTCCAGAATTTATGGAAAACTACCCATCCCCGCTCTCCCATACATGTTCTCCCTTCTATATAAGGTCTATTTTTAGGAATCTGCAATCAGAATGAAATTACAAGTGTCACAAAACGAAGATATTAGAAATAAAAGACACTGTTCCATAATATAAAAATATCTTACTGCTGCAAAGGAAAAAAATCCTGTTCCCCTCACCTGGGTAAATTGTTCCTCCAATGATTCGTCCCAAAGGGTACCAGGCCCGGTCATCAAACCAGTTATGGAATTTATAAAATCCCTCCTCAGCCAGGAACCGGGTAGTCCGATAATTAAAGTACCTATAACAAAAAAGAAATGAATTGTGTCTCCTCCTCTCCATACCCAAACACTTGCCTCAATTTGCAGTGACTTTTGCTCCTCAGGTTACACCACTGAGGAACTTATCATTACTCCAATAACAGTCAGTTTGGTACCAAAAAGTATTTCAAGCATGAAAATCATTTTACGTCACCATAAGCCTCCTCATTTCTAGCTCCATGCTTGTCTCAGTTAAGGCACTGCTTCTCTCATAAGGAAATGCAACCGTAGTCTAACCTTATAAGAAAACACTCAAGAAGGATTCTTCACCAGGCTGGCATGTAGTAGGCATTAGCCCCAGTCAAAAAATTCAAGCACTCCAAAGACAGGACAGCTGAAATGTGGACACCAATAGACTTGACTCTTTTCAAGTGACAGGAACACACAGAAGAATATTTCCATACCACAGGCAAGGAGACAAGGATAACTTTAGGTGATGAGCATCTCTAAAGATGTGGGTGTAACACCATACGCAGGATGAACATTTTTTAGTCCACTCCATAACACAAACTTCTTAATAAGTGTTTAAACTTGTAATTAGATCTACTCATGTCGTTATCTAAAATAGTTCTGAATGCCACCTCCATGGTAGCATAAAAATACAGACTACATAAAAAATACTTGACATAAAATGCTTACAGTTATATACGGACACAGTTCTTTAGGTCCAAGCTATGTAACCCCTTCTCTTAAGTTTCTCATTTAAAAAGAAATAAAAAAGAAAGACAAAAATATATATATGGAAATAATAAAAATATAAACAAATAAATAAAATAAAGGGAGTTGTTTAATCACTAAAGATAATCATGACTAACCATCTTTCCTGCCCACCCCTCTAACCCCATTTTCTCGTTGGTCAGTCAAGTTTTAGCAGCTCAAGTAAGTAAAGTAGCAGATGGCAGAAATCTCTATCCTTCTGGTTGTTGCTGATGAATGTTATTTTGGTAACTGTCAGGGAGACAGAAGGGATGGGGGTAGAAGACAGTCAACGTGTGTCAGAATCATGTCCTTTACCTAACAGTAGGAGAGGCACAGTGAGACAGAGGAAGTGCAAGTTAGTGGGAAAAGGTCTGGCCTGGGTTCACACCCTGGGCCTCAGTTTCCTGCTCTACAAAAAGAAGTGTCAAATCACATGATCTGTACAGTCCCTTCCATCTCTACAACTACAGAGCAGATGCTCTTGCTTTCCCTGACCATCTCATCTCAGTGTTTGCTCACCTAGAGGGTCTGAGAAAAAGCCCTAACAGACTGGTGATCAAGAAACAAAAGGATATAAGTTTCCTCATTCATGAGACAGAAAACAAGAAACAGAAAAAACTGATTTGGGAGGCCCCAAAGAAAAGATCTGTATGCCTCCAAAGTGCTTTCAAATATCTACACAAAACAATACAACAAATCTGTAAATACATGCAGGTATTAAACTTGAATCAATGCTCCATAAACTGAATATGTTATTTTTGAGATATCAATGATGTTTCAAGAACCTATGATTCTGGTTCTCCAAATTTTTAATTAAGCCTTAACGTTAGGTAATATAATATAGTTACTCCAGTGTCTAGAAACAGACAAACGTAGATTCACATCCTGGCTCCTCCATTTACTCTGTGTGTAACCTTGAATGGTCTCTGCCAGCCTCAGCCATATTTGTGGAAAGGCGACACCACTACCTCCTTCTCGTAGGGTCATTGTAAGGATTTACAGATAATCTGTAAAACAGTTCTTGGAACAAAATGAAGCTCAGTAAATGTTTTTCACCTATGCCTCTTTTTATCTAATAAAATATCCAATCCAACTCACAGCTTTAAATTTTCCTCAGTGTCTTACAACTTAACTGATAGGCCCAATTTCTATCATATTCACTGTTAAACAGAAAAAAGTCACAGATCTCAAGTTCATGACCTATAATTTTTCTTTTGAACCTCAAACACACATCAGGCCCAGGCCCCTTTCCCTCAATCTGCACCATTAACTGTCTACTGAGCTGAGAAGCCAGGCTTCTCTTAGCTTAGCCAGATCTTAAGTGGTAGGCACACCAGCAACACCTCTCTCACTTTTTAAGAGTTTGAGAGACTCACTCAAATTCCAACAGAAATGTTTCAAAAGGAGACAATTATCTCCTTTGGGAAACTTGAGAGTTTTCCCCCCAAAATGTATAGAAAGTCCATTCCCATTACGGAGAGCTCACTGGAATGTGAATCTGAAAACCATGAACCTAAATGCTTCCCAAACGAAATACCAGACCAAGCAAAGGTACTCACGGATCAAATTCATGGATGACACTTTCAAACCTCAGGACAGCAAAGAGACGAGTGGAGAATGCTGCAAAAACCAGAGAACCATTATTTTAATGGTAATGTACCATGAAAAACAACAGTAGGTAGTAATATTATAGAGATAATAGTATTATCCAGCACACAAGTCACACGAAATACAAAATGATGCTGAATAAAGTATTTATCCATTCCTCCCACACAGAAGAAACAAAGAAGTTCGCCTTCCCCTGACAATGACACCTACATTTCCACTTAAGTAGGACACATTTAACTACTTATTATCAAGGCCTATGACAACACATTCACCTACTAATATTGCACCCAATTTACATGGTCATCTTGTATATATGTTGACCTCCCCTCCCCACAACCTTACCTCCCCAAACCTTAGTTTGAAGCAAACTAAGAGGTAAGGAAATCAAGACTACTTATGACTCATGAAGAGCTAGAAAAACCTAAGAAAACAGAGTAAGTTCTGGAGAGATTTTCAGAAATACTAAGGCAGGCAACCACAAAAGACAAGTATCTTTTACAAAATTCAGTATCTCAGAGTCCCCGGTATCTCTTTCAGTCCTAAAAGAAAACAGAATTAGTACAGCGTGCTTCTCATTCTTTCCCAGATGATCACTAGTCCCAACTTTTATAATCCTTGTGTTTCTTTTATTTTGCTTTCACAAAATTCTACTGATTGAGAACAGTAAAAAGAACACATTGCAATCTGCTGGAAAAAAACAAGGCATTTAAGAGAGCCATTGTTGATTTTTCAAGATTTTCTCCTTTCCATATCTGAAGAAAGAGAGGTCCACATGCACACTCACATAACACAGCAGCCATTGACAGAATTAGAAGCTTCAGAAGTGTGTCCTGCTTCTCATAGGATAACCGTAAAAATCCCAGCTTGGTCATCTTGACATCAATGGGTGGCAACAGATGACACTCAAATAGCTAAAATGGAAAAGTCAAGACCATAAGATATTAAACACCTTCAATTTACCTAATTCAGTTTCATATTTTACGGTGGTAGAGAAACACAGAAACAGGAGTAATGCACACACCAGAGAGGGTCAAGGCTAATACTAATACCCAAGCCAAGCCTGAATTATGACCAACTGGCAAGTAAGTAGGCACGTCAGGTCTGTGAGTCAAGGACGAAAATGAATGAGACTCTATCACCACAATTCTGTTTCCCAGTCCTCGCAGCTAACAAGCACATAAGCACAATTGGCAACAGTGTGGTACAACAGGAGTAAAGAAGAAACACAAAAAAAGGGGGTTGGAGGAAGACATGCAAAGAAAACAGGGAAGACTGGAAATACAGAAAAGAATAATTAAATGGAGAAACAGAGCATTCAAGAAAATGCAGGAATGTATGAAAGAAAGCAGGGAATGAGCACAGAAGTGAAAGCAGAAGGCTGAGAAATAGAAGTCATGACTGAATCAGCACAGTTTACAGCCCTAAATTTCAGCTTCAACTGACTGGCTGCAAACTTTCTGTTCCAAATCCTAGTGGGGTTGTAGGGTCAACTAGAGAGCATGACTGCTCACTCACTAATGCAGGTACAGTCATGCACTCAGAAAGAGAGGGAGATACACATAGATCACTGCACTTTCAATCGCTTACATCACACTATAACTACTGCTCAGATCTACACCCACTTCCCATCAGCTGTCTCAAAGCATCCTGGAATTGACACTGCTGATTTAAGCCACTGATCCCAGAGACAGCTCATGGAATCAGATGACAATCTGGAAGGAAAAGAGAATAAAATTTTCCTACTAAAGCAAAGAAAGGTTGGGCTGGGGGGTGGGGGGGGGGGGGGGGACTATATTAAAATAAAATGTTGAGGGAAGCAGGCTGTAGACCATTCAGAATAGTGATCACTTGGCGGACAAGATTTATCAGCACTAATTAGGGGGGGGGGGGGGGGGGGGTGGGGTACTATATTAAAATAAAATGTTGAGGGAAGCAGGCTGTAGACCATTCAGAATAGTGATCACTTGGCGGACAAGATTTATCAGCACTAATTAGGAGGTTAGCTCTTTCTGTTTAAGACAGCACTGCTTTCTTAAACCATAAACTGGTCAAGGGCTAAGTGACAAAGAATATGATAATAAAGAATATGCAACACTGTACAAGACTGCAGGGGAAAAAAAGGAACCTGGATCCTTCCTGATCTTTCTCCCACTATTACTAGAGGAAAGGAGCGGAAAAAATAACACTGGACAGGGTGGAAGGCATGAAGAATCATATATTTCTAGCTCCAACTGTGGGAAGTCAAGCATCTTTTCCATAACTGTCCCAGAGGGGTGGTTTTACATTTAATCCTAATCCCAAAGGAAAACCTTATCTTGAAATCAAAACTAAACACCTAACTCCAGGAAGTCCCTAATCCAGTCACATCCCTCAGGTTTGTACTTGTTTTCTCCCACGCCTGTAACAGGAAAACTTACCACCGCTGAGCTGATATGAGCCACACGCCTAGAAGACTAAGCGGACGAAATGAGTAGTACTAGAACCTCTACCTGAAAACTGAGTAAAGGAGCTGGTAATTTAGGCCAGGACCTTAAGGGAGTTTCCATGCTGTGCTTTCTGGTCGTGTTCGCACACCGCTAAAGCAAATAAAGGCAAAGCCACTTTCCTTAAAGCACCTGGCATCTGTCCTCCACCTCGCCTGTGCCGGCAAGCTGTGGCCCCCTGTCCCACCCTGGCTCTAGTTCCGAAGACGGCAACCTGACCACCTGCTGGCCCACACGCTTTCTCACACTAGCCCCACCCTCCCCCACTTCTGCTCACTCCTGCGCGTCCCTCCTCACTCCGTCTCCCACCTTCACGAAATGCAACACCCCGGACACCACCCAGCGCGGGACACCCCACCGCCTCAGCATCCTGAGCGCCATCCCCTCCAGGACTAGTCCCAGGGTCCGATCTTTTCCATGCCCTCCTAGCCTAAGCGCCCGCCCCATCCTAGACCCCCGCCATCCTTCCATTCCAGGTCGTCCCCCACACGCCCCACGCCCCCTTCTCTGCAAGGCCTCAGACTCTGCTTGCGCCCGCGCCCACGCCCACGCCTGACGCCGTTAAAGCCCCACCAGCGCCTTGGACTGCATTTGCCCCTAACCCTCAAGCTATATCCTAGGGTCTTCTCACCTAACTCGGGCTCCTCAAGAATCCGCTCGCCTCCCCCTGCCATCCGTTCAGCGGCGCACCCAACCCTGGCAGCGTCGGGTCCGCCTCCCGGACCTCTCCCCATTGGTTGACCCAGGGCCAATACGACACTTGAAGAGAGCGATAGGATGACGCAACTGTCTGTCAGACTCGGAGGCGTGGACGAAGCCGCGCTCCCACTTTTTAACTGGACAAACAGGTATCATTTGGTAGCCGGAAGGCGGGACTTCGTGCAACCGCCGAGCCATGATAGGCCGGCTCGTGAGAGCGAGAGCGCGGAAAGAACACACTCGGAGCAGTTTGGTTGAGGGCCGAGCAGTGACGTGTCGGTCTGCGGGCCGCGAAGGAGTCGCGAGCGGAAGCTGTGGCGCGTTTAGCACAGTCACGTGACAAGAAGCGGAAACTACGCGAAGGAATGGGCAGAAACTACAAATCCCGAAAAGGCGGGCTGAGGTCGCTCGCCTCCCTTTCTGAGAGTTTCGTTTCTTTATAGGTAGAAGTTGATGTTGCCTAATATAAGGTTAAAGGAGAGGTGGGAAGAATTTTCTACCTATTCTCAATGAAACCTCAATCGCTTCCCGGTCCATACCTCTACATCTTGTGCAAGATCTTGTCTGACAGTTCGCTCAAGAGCTGTTTGACTCTGCTCCGGTAAACTGCGATGGACAAGAGCCCTGCAAATGTCACGAGGCATTTATTTCCCTTAAGCCCCTGACCTCGTGAATGAGCATGCCTAGGGCTAAAGGGGTCGTCGGGATTCGGTGGGAAGAATCTACGCCGCGGGCTGAGTCCCCCACGGTCGCAGAGGCGGTCCTCCCAAAGCGTAGACAGGCTTCTTCCTGGAACCAGCTTGCAGCCTGGCGGTGCTTTGCTCACCCCTTTGTAAGTAACCTGCCAGTGAAAGCTGCCCTAACTGCCTCTCTTCCCCTTCTCCTCACACACAAAGAAACGTTGCTTGAAGGCACGGAAGCGGGCGAAGTTTCAGCAGCCAATTCCATCACCTCTCGGACACGCACTTCCCACTCCCTACACATCTCAGTGAGCACGAGCCACACCGACAAAAATGGGAGCATCCGGCAACTGTTCAAATTTAGTGCCAGCGGCACTCCTTTCTCTTCGCGGTTACTCTACTGTTGAATGCAACCGACCAAACTTACTGAAAGCGTATTAAATCAGTACTTCAAAATCACGTGTAGTTTTCAAAATTTACACGACCAGGTTCACCCCAGGATGAGTCAGTAGATCTGCTTTTTCGTTTTGTATTTATAATGTGTTCAGTGTAATTTCATTAACAGAAGGAAAATGAAGCTGAACCTGAAGGAACTGCAAAACTTCAAGCACATGCTTCTTCAAAACGAGTTTTTCTTTAAAAAAAAAAAAGGAATTAAAATTAGATTCCATTAAAAAAAAATACTGCTTCAAGAACATTTAAGATATCGAGGTTTGTTTTTTTTTTTGAATTACTAAACCTGTTTCTTAAAGGGATATGTTAAACTTTCCAGGTGGTACAATTAAGTCAACTTTTTCAGAAGTCAAAATATACTACTAAAGAATAAAGTTCAAAATCTAAGCCAAGAATCAACTGTACTCCAATAACGATTTCTAAAAAATCCAATGCTATTTTTAGGATGATTCTTTAATATCAGTTGATAGGGAAAGGCTTATCTATAAGTAAAAGTCAGGATGGCAAAATCATGGGGAAAATTATAGTTATTATAAACCCAGAGATTATACACGAACATTCAGGGTATCAGTTAATCTCTCTCCCTCCTGACTTATTGGACCAGAAGTTTTGATTTGGTTCTGAAAAACTTTTTACAGTCCTATCAGTTGCTTAAAATAATGCTATTTTTAGCTTGCTTTGTAGTTGTTGTCATTCCTGTGGAGCTTTTGGTCTTTCCTGAAGTGTCTACTTACCTCTTTTATATTATTGATCGAAAGAAACATGTCTTCATCTCACCTGGAGCAGACCAGAGTAACAGAACGTTTTCTTCTTGAAGATGTTCTCCCCAGAACCCACCTTTCCAAGTATGCTGTATAGCTGTACTACCAAGATTTCTTCTCAATGCACTCTGATTCCATTGTTTCATGTTGTTTGGTTGGGTGTTTGTTTTAATTAGTCATCTATTTCTTGGAATTTTCACTTTGATAGATTCAAGTAACTTTTTCAGAAAAGCTGAATGGAAAGCAAACAATGCCTTTATTTTGTCCTTGATAGCACAGCTAGGTTTAGAGTTCTAAGAACGAAATTGGGACCCACCCATCCCATATACAGACAAGCACACATAAAAGCATACTTTCAAGGCATTACAATTTTATCTTCTATTTCTCAGAGTTGTTCTTGAGAAGTCTAGTAGCAATGTGAGGCAGTCTCTTGGAGGTAACCTATTTTCCTGGTGTTTCTCCATAGAGATCCCATCTGGTTTTGGGGGGTTTTTTTTCCTTTCATTGCTTTTCACTTGGCAGTGAAAAGCATCCATATGAAAAGTCCAGTTTTCATCGCAAGTCCCGAAAATTTCCTGATTTTATTGTCTCCATGCTTCTGTTCTCATTTTCTGAAACAAATGTCAGATCTGATTCTTGGATACCTCCACGATTCTTAACTTTTTCCATGTCTTACTCTTTTTGCTCTTTGTTCTGAGAAATTTCCTCAATTTTACGTTGTAGTTCTCTAATTTAGCATCCTCGGCATCACTTCTATAAGCCATCTCATTTTATTTCCACAACTGTTTTAATTGCCAAGAACCGTCCTATTCTGTCCCCTTTTCACAATCTGTTCTTATTCCATGGATGCAATAGTTTACCAAGTTTCTATGAAAGTAGTTATTAGAATTTGTTAACTTTTATTTCTAGAATTACTTAAATTTCCTCCAGGTCCAGGTGGGGTTACTGTGTATCTTAGAAAAGCTCCTGAAATGATGCTGCTGTTAACCCATAGTTAAGAACTACTTATTTGATCAAATGGTTACTCTTTGTCCCACAGGTCTGAAGGTACAACATTTAAACTTGAAATCAGAGAATGAGTCCAAGGATGGAAGCCTAAACACATGGCATAATCTCTTGTCCTACTCAAAGATTCTCTGAATTCCAATGTTTTATCCAACTTTGAGACCTATGGAAAATAATAGTTATTTGAACACGTAATTCTTAAGAATTTGATCATTTCTCAGTCTCCTACACCATATTGTTAGGTCCAAGAGGACAGCAGTCATCTTTTTGGTTCACCCTTGAATCCCCAGTGCCTTGCAGAGCCTGACAGAGAAGGCGCTCAAATAACTGTTACGTAATTAAGTCATCTGTTCCCCTCACTTGATCCTTTACTGGTTCTATGGACTTGCTTTAGGTTTGTCCAAAATATTTCACTGAATGTACGGCTCTCATTGTTAAAAAGACCGAACTTACACTGACCTGGAGTCAGCTTCCTTATAGCTTCTGTGGGTTGAATGATGGCACAGGAGGGATGTTAGGGTGGGGGCAAAGAGGCGGGTGGTGAGATGACTGCTGGACAGCCTTCCATCACTATGAAGAGCCAGTAACGGCTACCAGAGCAACCTCCACACAGGCAACCACGGAGCACAGAAGCTGGACAGATGTGCTACTTCTATAACCAGAAAGTCAGTGGACGGAAAATGAACAGTGAACAACTACAGTTGCCCTTTTATTCCCACAGAAGTTATCCTTTAAGGTGGTTCACAAACCCCTAACCATTAGTTGCCCTCTTCTGGGTTTATTCCAGTTTGTCACAATTTTTCTTAAATTTTCTCTTGGCCCCTTACCAAGTGCAGAGCAGTGAACAAGTCAGTGCATGAATCTGTCCATTTAAAAGTTTCCAACAGACTTAACATACTCAGGTCTAGAAAGCATTTACTCTGTAGAGTTACTATAATGGACAACTCAGCTCTAGATAGGATAAAAGGGTCGTGTTTTCAACACACATACCTGTCCAAGCTGTGATGTCTGTCCCTGAAGAGAGATTTGTGAACATGATTCCTTAGATCTTCCTGGCTGTATGACTGAAACTCAAGCTCTCACTTTCGTCTGTAGTGATGTGCCCTCCCTTATTTTCTGTTACTATTAGTCTGCCTTAAACTGCCATTCTGAACTTGGCAAAAACAGAGCCTACTCTCCCTTTGATCCCAATATTCCTAATCGCTGCCCTCACTGCCCAGATGCTAGTGAAAAGAGAAGTTTACACTGCTTTTGTGTACATCTCATGAAATTAGGAATACCTACAACAATAGACACTTGGTAATCTAGCCTTTGTACAGGCCTGGCCTCTCAGTTACACTAATAAAACTTTACAGATTCCTCACATCCAGTGACTTAAAACATTTTCTACAGCCAGGCACAGTGCTGGATAATATCACTTGCCTTCCTCTACTCAACTTCCCTCACCCTTGTAAGACCAGCTTAGCTGACACAAATAACAAATTTCAGGCAGCACAGATGTGGCCATTTTAATCTCATTTTAAAAACTACAACAACTAATCTTAAGTAAGGCAGTCGCTGATCAGCTGCAAGCTGATGAAGTACTGAGGTCTTCAACCACCCCTCGGCAACCTGAAAGTAGTTCTCTGCAATACTGCTGTCAAATGACCAGAGGGGTATTGAAAATAAACCTTAAACTGTCTTTTACAATTTTTTGTTCACAAGCTGGAAACACCTACTTCCAAAATACCCACTATTTTAAAACCTCTGTATCCAAACTTGGTTCACATCTGCTGGCAACGATTTTTAAATCCTTATTTTGTCCTGTACATAGTAAAGGTTTCTGTTAACCAAATGTCTAATCTCTTCCCTAATGAGAATGTTCAGTTCTTGAAGTCTAGAAGGCCCTCTCTTCCTTCATGAGTACACAGGACAGACGCACATATAGACTTTAAAACAACTCAATCCGAAATTCTTTCACCAGATGTTAACATGATTATAATCACATAACCCAAACTTCTTCAGGGAACATTTTTCAGAACTAATCTTCCAAATTATCCAAGACAAAGTCCTGGGTTCCACGCGTATGTTTCTTGAAGTGACAACTTGTAAATTTCAACCATTAC